TGTCATAGGAGAATATGACTGTATGTCTTTAATTTTCTTCTTGTTTCTTATCTTCTTTTTCTCTTCTTTATCAAGTGTTCTGGGTATCCATTGTTAATGATGGTGATATTTGTTGGTGATGGGTTTTTCTTCCATCGTCTTAGCTTCTTCGATATTACTAATCGTGTTCGTTCTTGAAACTAGAAAGCCTATGACGCCTGTCTTTACACTGTTGGATTTGTTTACTTTATAGTTGATATATTTAACCAAATCTGTGGATTTCCTGTAAACACCTGCGTTATTTGTGTTATATGTCTTGGTAACCATTACGTCAAGGAATAAGAATTTGTTATCTTTCTTCTTTATTTCTATTTTCAATTATATCTGTTGTATATTTAGTTGGTTCATAAATTTCATGATTTATAACTTAGAAGCATAATAGGCTATACAATAAATTGGAATGATATCAAAACAATGGGATCTGAATCACAAATGGTAAAAAAAAGAAAGATAGAAAACCTTTTAAGTTCATCTAACTGGTAATATACTCAGTCAACATTGTATATAAACCATCAAAACCTGGTTATCCCCCCCCCTTAAAATATTTGACTGTTAGTTGACTCAAGGAGGCCTTATTCAAATGGATAAAGCACCAGACTTCCGACAAGAAGACCCAGGATTGAATCTAGGCTACTAGCAATACAAAAGTAGTCCTTCTAAGGACCTTCTGAAAACGGCGGCATATTAGCAGCCGAAACATTGAATAAAAACTAGCTAGTAATTAGTATCCAGTTGTAAAAAGGTACTAATTAATAATTCTATTAGGCAATCGTATGACAACAACTGGTATTCGATCGCCACAACGGCACCTTTTTCACATGTGTCTATCCTGGAATCAAATTGCAACAGCTATATAGCTATAAACTGAAGTGAGTTTTAAAACAGACCACGTTAAGGCTTTAACTGACAGGGCATCTTAGCATAGTATGTGAATGCAGTTCCAATAACGATTTATTAACCACAGTACCAGGTTGGAACAAACAAGATATTTTTCTCTTTAGCCGAGTAGGTAAAACGTTCATAGGTTACACTTTAATAATATGATTAAAACGTGAATGTAAAATACATATGTATTTACCAAATTATTCAGTATTGGCAAGGTGGATATTTGATATACTTGTTGGACAAAAGAGACGAATTTAATATAGCTGGAGCGGTACCTTGTATTATGTGGAGAAGACTCGTGACTACTATAGCAGTGAATATATATTATATATGTAATAATAACTTAAGAATACTTGTGGATTGGTATAAATCCTTCCGCGATTTGCCCGAGATAACTCCATGTTTCAAAAATATTTGCCGAATTAATTCGGGCAAACTATTATTCGCCGTATTCCTAATTATTTGCCCGAACTTATCATTTTATTATGTATTACAAAAGCTATCAAAAGGTGAAATAAAAAAAAAACATAGCTACCTTTTTGAGCTCTCATTTACAGAAAGAAATCTCACACAGAAGGGATTAACAATGAATGTAAGTATAGAGGATGATATGGTGGCGCTTTGATTGTGTCACAAGCCGTTGTTCAATTAAACAAATATATCTGTAACCATAAACAATAAAAAACAACAACATTAAAATCATTTTTATGAAACATGGACATGTCCCCGAGGGGTCAAAGGTAAGTTTGCCGGACTCATAACGCTAAAATCCGAAGATCGATTTCCTGCGGTGAACAGAGTACAAACAGCCATTTGTGTTGTTTTGAACTTAGAAAACAACAACAATGACAAAATGGGCAGATCTAAATTTCTGACCACAAAACACTATTATAGAAAGTTGGAAAATGAAGGGAAAACTCGAACTCCCTATTATAACCAAGGTTAAGTGATAAAAAAACGAAATAATATTATATTAAATTTATACGTGTTCTTTTAATACGTTTTATCGTATCAGTAATGAAGCACATTATGCTAATATAATAATAGGTAGGCAAACAACTATTTATAAGCATAAGGAAAAGTTTTATTAATGGTAGAACATACCTGAAGAAGACAGGCCAATGTTCTGTCGAAACATGTAATATGTTCCACCATCAATAAAACTTTTCTTTTTGCTTATAAATCGTTGTTTGCCTACCTATTATTAAGTTTTATCGAAATTAATTTACTTTTTTGACTAGAAAACCGATGAAGTGAAGGAATACATTCCAGTATCTTTATTCTATTCGTTATTGGTTATTGGCATGTTCCAAAATTTGATAAGATATAATTTAAATATTGCAATTACAATTATATTGTACTAGCACTTGTTTGATGTTTCGGTTTTTCAGATATCATCTAGGTTTTGATATGTTGTATCCCATGTTTATCGGTGCAAATCGTACTTTTAACTATATATAATTAAAAAATCAGGAACTCCTTAATTATTATTTGTACCATTTAACAAATAGCTTATTCCCCATGTATCTGATATAACAATTTAAAAAAATTCAAATTAGATGAAAATAATATTTTCAATAAAAACAAGCAGAATATAACATATTATAAACCCGGTTTTATAAATATAACATAAAAACTCATATATAACTCCATGCAATAAACCGATACACTTAAGACCTATAACTCATACGTTTCACAAATACTACTTCCCCAGAAGAAAAGCATAAAACTCCAGTGAAATAAGGTCTGCATACCATAAAAAGGACAGTAACAAATCTCGTTCCATTTACTAGATTACTGACTATATGATTTGAATTTTACTGTTATTTGCCCCAATCCAAACTAAAATGTTTGCTACTAGTATCGTAGTATTAACATGTAATGTGCAATAGTAAAAATACAATAAACAAGAATATGTTTATCCATCATTTCAATATAAGATTCTGCGGAATTATGATATAGTTAATCATAGACTTAAAAAAGCTTTTTGAAATGTTGGTAAAAATTGCCCATTAAATTATTCAGTGCTTAGATAAACCTTCAGATATAATCAAGTAAGAAGAACACATAAACATAAAAAAAGCAATCATGCTGGCTAGATTTATCTTTCTAGAGATACTGGTGCAGGTCTTATAATACGTCACTTTAACTTGCGCTATCTGTTCAAGAGTGTCAGTTAAACTTAAATCTTTCAACAAGTTTGTTATTCGTTCATGTGAACGAACATGGTTGAGAATCGGTGATTGCAAATAAATTAACTACTTTCATCCTTCTATAGCGAAACCTGTTAAAGTCCCATAAATCGTTGCTGGTAAAAAGGTAAATGCTTCACTGTAGATTCACACTAAATCCACATTACTGCATTATGTGCTCTTATGTCGTAAGCTGTGTTGCTAAAAGGAATTAATTTAGGTGGTTTTTAGTTATTATTTTAATTTTTCAAGGCGAAAGAAGCATGCCAATACGCCACAAACTCCGTTTGATCATGATCCAAAACAGATTGCCAACACGTCACAAAACTCTGTTAGCTCACGATCCAAAACAGATTGCCAACACGTCACAAAACTCTGTATGCTCACGATCCAAAACAAACTGCCAACACGTTACAAACTCCATATGATCATGATTCAAAACATACTATCAACACGTCACAAACGCCGTATGATCATGATCCAATAGACTGCCAACACGTCACAAAACTCTATATGCTCACGATCCAAAACAAACTGCCAACACGCCACAAACTCCCTATGATCAGGATCCAAAACAGATTGCCAACACGTCACAAAACTCTGTATGCTCACGATCCAAAATAAACTGCCAACACGTTACAAACTCTATATGATCATGATCCAAAACAGACTGCCAACACGTCATAAACTCCGTATGATCATGATCCAACACAAACAATGGAGAGCCTCTTTTCAAGAAGTTTGTAATGACAGTAGAAAATGGAACAAGCACCATAAATGTGTATTAAACTGACACACGTACGTTTGTTTATCAAGAAATTTGTAATGACAGTAGAAAATGGAACAAGCACCATAAATGTGTATTAAACTGACACACGTACGTTTGTTTATCAGGAAGTTTGTAATGACAGTAGAAAATGGAACAAGCACCATAAATGTGTATTAAACTGACACACGTACGTTTGTTTAGTTGATTATTTGTTGTTTTGATAGTGATTTTTACCAGTTTTGTTAAATATCTGGAATGATGGGGTATTCACAACAGTGTTTCGGTATTACTACCACAGTTATTGTTTTCTACTGTCTTCAATGTTTACATCTTATGCAATTTGTATTAGTTTCAGTTAATGGACGAAGTTAAAAATGTTCTCCTCACTGTTTAACCTACTGATAGTTTTAGCCAACCTACAGTTGTTCTAGTTCTGTTTAAATGTTTGATATATATGCGTGCGTGTTGGCTTATTTGAAGCAATAAGTAGGGGTGTTAGAGATAACTCCGTCCGCGGAAGCTTACCAATTTCAGAGAACTGGATAGATTACTGGAACTTGTTACAAGCTCTAACATTTGATATCCTATGGTGCACTAAAACAATTTCAGACCTAATTATTGGGGCTTTCAACTCAGACGACCATGTTAGTTTTCATTACTTGCTAAGAGCTTAAGATAATTGAGTTCTGGCCTTGCGAGCCGTTTAGTTGTTAACTTGATGATTGTGTAATTTACTAGGATTGCGCAAAATAGAACTTAAAAATCACTGTATTCAAACTAACAGGAACTCGTTAACCTCAGAAGTATTTTAGACGAAGGAGAAACTAGTTATTAGGTAATTTTATACTTACACCTGTTGGTTTTATTTGCGATTTCTTCATTTTCCACGTGTCTCTAAAAAAAAAGCGCCTTATGGTAGATCACTCAGCATAATGAAACAAAAGTAGCTATATATTTTGCTTACTACATACCCTCAAGCCTTTCCCACGCATCACTTGATTGGATTAGTGCGTTGGAGAGAGAGCATCTGGAGAGAACTCCAGTCCCCACCCAAGAACAACAACATGTAGAAGCTGCATCAACTGTAAGTATTTAGGAAGAAGCGCACGCGCGGAGCCCTCACTTTTGGCAAACTTTCATCAACAGTTGGTTGTTGCTGCAAGGTATTGCTAAGAAACAGACAACTCTGTTAGAAGAGATTGAAGGTAAGTAGATAGTTAATTCTATCATATACTACTGTTAATAAACGGAACATACTGATTAAAATAATATTCCACACACACCAAACAAATTTACTGACATTATATTGTACTTTCTACACAACTTGTGGTGAAGAAGGAAATGTAAGAAACTTTAGTTTCAGGAAATAGGAAAAGAAATTATCTTCTATACGTTTTGAAGACACCATTACTGTAGTTGAGAAACATAACTCTTGACATTGTTATATCCTTTTTTCTAATTCAGTTATATAACCAAATAGTTTAATGTAACTTTAAACTGTACATGGCCAGGCATGGTCAGGTCGCTCGACTCGCAATCTGCGGGTCGCGGGTTCGCATCCCCGTCCCACCAAACATGCTCGACCTTTCAGCCGTGGGGGCGTTATAATGTTACGGTCAGTCCCACTTTTCGTTGGTAAAAAGAGTAGCCCAAGAGTTGGCGGTGGGTGGTGATGACTAGCTGCCTTCCCTCTAGTCTTACACTGCTAAATTAGGGACGGCTAGCACAGATAACCCTCGCGAAATTCAAAACAAACAAACAAAACAGTACACATTTGTTGACTAAGAAATTGAAATATTCTGGTGTGGTAGAGACCGTGGTTATCGTGTTGAAGTATGGTTCCGAGTTTATATAGTTCTCACCCGATTACCATAAAAATGAAAAAAAAATATATATATAACGCACTCCGTTGTGAGTACGTTATAAGAATGACGGCTAATTCCCACTATTTTTAAGCAATTATTTCATTAACGTATCCTAACTTGAGTACTTGAGGTTTGTTTTCTTAAGCGCGAATCTTCACAATGCGATGATCCCTGCCCCAGCGGTAAGTCTGAGGGTTTATAACACTGAAAATTGAGTTTCGATACCCGTGGTGGGCAAACACAGATAGTTCTTTGTAAAATTTTGTGCTTAACAAAAAGTAGACCAATAGACGATGAGCCTAGGGATCGAACCCTAGTTTTTTCATTATAAGTTCTTACACTTACAGCTGAGGCAATGGGGCAGCCTAAAATACCAATAATGTTCCAATATCTCTATTTATCAAAATAAATCGACTTTTATCAGTAACAATGATTTTTTTCATATAACACAAACGAGTTATTATTATTATTTTTAGTTTTGGATAAAGACAAGTATAAATAGCTCTTTTTTATTTTTTAGAAAATCTCTACATGTTTATTAATAATATGTATTATTATGATAATTTTCTCTCGTCGTAAGATGTGAATAATATTCTGGAATTTATGATAAACTTTTCTTGTTGTTCAAAACTAGTAATAATTTCGAACAGCTTCAACAGAACGAAGAACCACAGGTACGTTTGAAACTGTTGCACATAGGACTAGTCTGTTATATTTCACATTAACAGATTAAAAACAACAATGTTGCGACAGATCCTCTTAACAATTCCTCAGAGAAGACGTTGCTATAGAAACACACTAATGTTTTTTTGTTTTTTGTTTTTTTACATCCTTCTCTACCTACGTTATCATTATTATTGACATAAATTACTTAGTTTCTGAAAGGCGCAAAAACAATGGTTTTTAAATGAATAATGGCGCTAAGAAAAGAAATAAGAAACAACAATATAATTCAATAATTTAAACCGTATATTTGTACTTACGGATCTCGCTTGTACGTTGAAAAATCTGAACATGTTACGTTCCATAATGAAGCCATATGGTATAATTAAATGTATTATATTTTGGTATTTATGTATCTTAAAAATTACCCATTAAAATACTTTCCTAAAAAGTGAGCTATTGATATTAACAAATCTGAATTTCCAGAATAAGGTTTATTTCTATTTGTTGTTAAGCATAAAGTTACACAATAGACTATGTGAGCTCTGCCCATCGCGGGTATCGAAGCACAATTTTTAGCGTTCTAAACCCTCAACCTTAACGATGAGCTACCTGGGGCTCAGAATAGGGACTATTCCTTATGCTCTTTTTTATATTTCTCCCTTAATTTCAAATTCCCATTAAATAGAAATTTTTATCTTGACACTTTTGTATCAAATGTAGTTTTATGATAAACCAATAATTTTAATTATTAAAATATATCGTTCAATGGTAACATTTATTACACTTGACATATTTTCCCTCGTAAATTAAATCTGATTTGTGAATGCTCCCTTCACACTAAAAGTGTTGCTTGTGAAAAATTTTACTGAGCAGCTTATTTCTAAGTCGGGCGTGACCTAGAAGTTAGCGTTCCGTTGTTCGCATGCCGTTTCTGCAAAATCACGCTCCGCGCTTTTGGGCCGTGGTGGTGTAATAAGAGTGACCATCAAATCCTACTATTCGATTAGAGCAGCTCAAGAGTTGGCAGTGGGTGCTGTTGGCTAATTGTCTTCCCCTATAGTTCCCTTGTGCAGCTTTACATGAATCAGTTTTTTAAAGATTAATTACTTTTAACTTATGTAGTTTCTTTATTCAAGACGTTTACAATGATGTTTGACGAAACTCTGATCACTATATCACTGTGTCTAAAAGTATCACAATATTCCTAAGTAACTTGTACTCACAGGTGGTAAAAAGAAAAAAAGAAAACTCATAAAAACTTGTAATCAAAAACAGTAAAAACAAACTAATTAACTACATCATTTATTTGCTAATTTTAAAACTTGTTAATTACTAATTGATAACTTTCTGCTCTGGTAAACTTTTTTAAATCAGAGTATTTAAAAGATGAACAGATTACAGATTTTATAATGATAACCAATAAGATGTTATCAAGTGCTAAGAAACGTCATTTCATGTTAAAAGCCTCTTAAGATCCATGAAATACATTCCAAACATGACAAATATATACATTACACGCGCCACACATTGAACGATAAGACGCCAATGTAGAAAAAACATCGAGAGTTAGCGAAGAAATGTCTCGCATGAGAAGCAGTGTTTAAACAAACGTACATTTTGAATATGTTCACCACTACAAAATCAGTCTTGTTTGTTTGTTTTTATTTGCCCTTGGTTAATGATAAGTGGTGGAATTTCCCTAAACATGAATTATTCAGTAGTATACTAGAAGGAAAACAGTTAGTCAACACCCCCCAACTCTTGGGCTAAATTTTACAAACAAAAAGTGAGATTGACAGTCACATTATAACGCCACTACGGATGAAAGGGCAAGCCTGTTTGGTGACGAGATTCGAACCCGCGACAAGGTTTTGAATCGAATGATGGACTAGGCTTAGTATTTATTCTCTAATATACATTTGACCATGCTAGAATTCATCCATAAACATTCACTCTCGTTCAATGACGAGGAACCCACTTTGAGACTAATAATGGTTGGAGATGGCTTGAATGGGTAATGAAGAAAAACTTTAATATAAGTTCAACATAACAGCAAATGTACAACGTTTCGACAAGGTTGATGATGAAAGGATTTTTACGCCATTTTAAAAAGCTTGATGGTATTCAGTAATAAATATTCTAGTTCGATGTTATGTGGTTATTACACTGCCCACTATTTCGGCTGATACAGAATTTGCGCTTCTTAAATTTTACCATTTTGAAATAACTCAATGTTATTGTGTTTATTTGTGTTTTGTCACTGTCTTCTGTTACACTGTTTTACAAATAGAAGTTATTGTTATGTTTGACCATTCGCGTGTATCTATTTATAAATAAATACTTTTATTTATGTATTTTCATTTACAACTTGAATGCTACGTTATATAAACAGCTCCAGTAATAAACTAAAATAATTGTGGAAACCTTTTAAAGACATACCCTCTTCAGATTACTGTGTTATACCTAACAAGTGACGTAATCCAAAGAGTATTGCTCCTGTATTAGACTCAGTGGAAACCTTTTAAAGACATACCCTCTTCAGATTACTTTGTTATACCTAACAAGTGACGTAATCCAAAGAGTATTGCTCCTGTATTAGACTCAGTGGAAACCTTTTAAAGACATACCCTCTTCAGATTACTTTGTTATACCTAACAAGTGACGTAATCCAAAGAGTATTGCTCCTGTATTAGACTCAGTGGAAACCTTTTTAAAGACATACCCTCTTCAGATTACTGTGTTATACCTAACAAGTGACGTAATCCAAAGAGTATTGCTCCTGTATTAGACTCTGAGGAATTAATCCCTTACATAGTATCAGCTTTACTTCAAAGATTACTTAGGTACTGATAATTAACGAAATATAGAGCAATAGATCATGAGATATTACCCAACAGTCAACAAGCACCCAATATTATCATTTTCCTACCTCGCACGAAAAGCTTATACTTTACCTGCTACAACGTTTGTTTACTTGCTATTAGGTGGAATTATCATTGAGTTACTCTTAAGTTTTTTATTTTGATTGAAGAATTGAAAACACTTCCAATATATTGAAAAATATTCAGTTTAAAATCAGACACACTCGGAATGAACCAGTACAATAAATATTTCAAAACATACACAATTAGGTGTTGAAGGAAATCACTGAAAAACAATAAATCAGATGTATTCCAAAATCTCTAACATCACGTCTGATTTTAACTCTTATTCAATGACATGATCCATAGAAATCACTAGTGCAAACTGGATGTTAAAAATGGGTTAGAATGGATTGTGTAAAACGAAACATTAACATACTGTATAAAATACAAGCATATGGATCCTGGTATTTGTCGTTTGAGTCCAAATACATTGATACAAACAGAATTTTATAAAACGGATTGCATTATATTGTGTAAAATGGATTGTATTATATTGTGTAAAATGGATTGTATTATATTGTGTAAAATGGATTGTATTATATTGTGTAAAATGGAGCATTAACATACTATCTAAAATACAAGCACGTGGTACTAATTATTTGTCATTTGAGTCCAAATACATCGATACAAACAGAATTTTATAAAATGGATTGGATTATATTGTGTAAAATGGAACATTAACATACTATCTAAAATACAAGCACGTGGCACTAATTATTTGTCGTCCAAATACACTGTATTTTGCTGCAT